CTAATGCTCCCCTGAAAACATTGTCCACTGTGGTCAGAGCCAGTGTTTGGAAATCCAGTAATGAGGTGCAGGGAGTTTGGGTAACTGCCCATGGCCAGTCCCTGGGAACAGGCCTGAGAACAATAGTCTTTCAGAAGCTTTTCAAAATGTCAAGTCCAATGGGGCAGGCATTACCCTTAAGTGTTCAGATTGTTTATTGTAGAGGAAACAAAGGAGTGAGAAAAGGCACTCGAATAAAGCCAGGCTACCTGATAGTCCTGAAAATGCCTAGTAGTGTCAACATGGTCTCTGCCTCCCAGGGATAATATAAATCAGGGGGTCCTGATTACCTCTTGCTCCCAGGGACATAGTGAAATTTGGTGAGTTTTCTCACCTTTGAGGCGAGAAAGATTAGAGTAATGGAAAGAAGGAGGGAGACAGAATCATGTTGTGGTTGATTACAGTCTGGCTGATGCTGGGCAAATTGCATCTGGGCAAAAAGTATTGTGTTTCATTTTCCCTTTAAATCATTTCCACTTGAAATTCAGAATTATCTCCACAGTTAGAAACAAATCTCTGAGGCTGGGCCTTGGGGGGGTTTAGGAAAGAAGGAGAGAGATGAAACTGACTCTGAGCCCCTCTGCCAGGGAGCAGACCCCCCCACCACCACCTGATCCTCTGTTACTGCGCTGGGTCACTCTTCCTGCAGAGATGGAGTATAATAATATGATGGTGAGGAGCTCAGGTAGGGGGACTGAGAATTTCAAATCAAGCTCCCAATCCTTAAAGTGTTGACAGTAAATAACGGTCCTACACCACCAGCATTCCCTTTAGCCGGCTCTAGCCCTAGACTCTTGAATTTTGGTGATGAGGCAAAGTCATCTGCATGGTCTTTAAGTTCTGCTTCACATGATTACTCTATCCTCCTGAGGCATGTATCTGGATCTAGGGTCAGAAGAAATTATAAGCCAAAAACAAACAATCCAAAGAAGGACTGACTTCTCAGACCCACGCCCGGGACACACAGCACCACTACCGGGCTCCCCCATCAGCTGCTGATTTCTTGTTCAACCCTCTGTTCCTTCAAAAACCTTTCTCTGGTCTCAGGGAATTAGAAAGCAGATTTGTTATTATTGTGAGACTCAGTCTGAGGAATGGGGGAGAAATTAGATTTCTAATCAAAAAGCAGTATTTGTGACCAAAGAGAAGGAAACCAGAATATACGAACAAGACCTAGGACTGAGCCCTCCTGGGCCCAACACTAATTATGAGAAATGTCAGTGTTCCTTGCCCCATCCTTGCTCCCATGCTATGATGTTCTTCTTGGTCAGGCCCCCCAATAAACTGAGATTAAATGTTCCATCTTGAAAGCAGCGACAGGTCGCAGTCACCCTCTCCTCTCTTGCTCAGTCCAGGCCTGGTCCCCTGGCCCAATGCTTCTCGGCCCAGGATCTCACACTCACCTCCTTATCCAGCTGCTAAACTATTATTAGCTTCAAAGGGACCTGAGGCCCTTACATTCAGCCTCCTGATCTCATCAGGGCGGCTTTGACAATCTCTGAGCTGTGGGGTCTGTAGGCCAGGACCCAGGCTGGGGAGGCAGAACACAGATGTTCAGGCCAGGCCCCAACGCCGGCCCAGGCTATCGCCTGTGTGAGGCAATGTCGCAATGTGCTCCTGGGACACCCGGCAGATGTTTTTCGGAGCTGGCACCAAACTCATCGTGGAGGCTCGTGAGTCAACTTTCATCCTTATATTTCTAGGGTTAAATTGATTTCTGGGATGGGGGCTGCCATCTAATTTGCAGGGCTTGAAAAAACATAACCAGCTGCTGGGCAGTATTGATGTGGAGTGGGCCAGAGTGAAGACACTAGGCTAAGCCACTGCTGCAGCTCTGTAACTCTTTGTTTTTTTAAAAAAACATATATTAAAACTGCACTCCCACTTATTTCTGAACTCTTCCGAGCAGCCCAGATAGCACAAAGAAATCTAGGAGAATAATACCAGTAGTTGGAGCACATGGCTGCAGGATAGACAGTGTCAGGGACAGTTGGGCCCAGATTCTGAAGGCAGTTTCTTCATCCTTTTGCGTCCTGCAGACTAATAAGCCTGCCTGCAACCTGAAAAAAAATGTCCTGCAGCTTGGAAGATTTAGGAGCAAGGTGGTTAACCTGGTCAGAGTGATCAGGTAAAGCAAATTTTTCAGTATTCAAGTTAAATCCCATATTGGCAGAAATCTTTGAAATTCTAAGTGATGTTTGTTATAAATGTTGCAATTCTTAAGGAGCCAGTAGGACTCCCTCTACGAATCTAAAACATAGATGATTTCTAAGTTTATAAATTGAGAAAGACTGTTCAGGAAATGTATACACTCCTTTTTTTATTGTTTACCAGCACAAAACCTTAGCTTTGTGTTGGTACTCATATAAACAGAAGGCCTGAAAATAAAATAACAATTGTTTTAAAAAATAGCACTCTGAAACATACGTTGAAATGTAATTACATTTGTGGACCAAGAAGGAAAACTGGAAATTCTCAAAAGTTAAACAATTAAGTTTTTCATTTAAATTTTGGACTGCAATAGTGTAAATTTTGTACAGCTTCAAATTTGGGGTTGTCAGATATAAAATAGACTAGGTTACATGTGGCAACTATATTGAATGCATTTTTTTTTAAAGGCTCAATTCAGTCAGATAGTCTTTTCTTTGGTTACCATGACACCAAAAAATGGATTAGATGAGGCACTTTACTTTCAAACAATTGTTTGCAACAGACAAACATTGATTGAAAAAGAGGGTCTGAGAAAAATGTTTTACCAAGTCAGTATGCCATGCTTTCCCTGAAATGCTGACTAGCAGATTCAGGGCTCAATACCATGAGCGTATGACCTTCTCCAGACATCTGTCTCATCAGCAATATTTCATTGTTCAAATTATTCAAACCAGGTCTCTCCAGCCAAAGTGATTGACAACTGCCTTTGAATTTAGATTTTAAAATCCCAAGCAAACCTTAATCCTCCAACTAAATCAGGCCAAATAACCCAGGAGATAGGGTTGTTTTGTTTGTGCTTTTAAATGGGCAAGTTTCCTCTCTCTAAACTCATGACTCCTTTGAAAATCAACCAGAATACATCCTACCAAAATCAGTATAATGAACAAGAAATGTCACAATTCTGAAGGGAGGTGAATGAGCAGAATATGTGGTTTCCAAGCCGTTAGAGCTTGGGTTATCTGTGTCTGTTATCAGTGGCTTCAGCTAAGTCAGGAAGCAGCAATGAAGATTTTCTCAGGTAGGCCGAGAGTAGGTTACAGTAGGGTACTTTGGAAAAATCCCCAATTCCCCTCTTTTACAGGGCTTAAGCCAAAAATATAAGGAACCAGATTCTTAGGAATAAGTTTCCTTCCTCGGTGACCTGAACAGAACCCAGTCTTTTAGCTGAAGTTCATAGAAGGAAAAAAAAAAAAAATGGATTCTCATGATGGTGGTGAGAAAGGCCTTCTCTGGATAGCTGATCCCAAGGAAAACCCTGATCAGCTATGTCCACCTACTAAGTGCTGATCAACAGGAATTTCCTGATGAGGAATCATTCCTTCTCAACCAGATATAACCTACTGAGTTGGTTATAGCTCTATGCTCATGAGCTTCATATTTTAAGTCCAAATTCAGATTCACGATGGAGCATTAGAAAAATCATTTCATTTACACATGTGTTAACAAGACTTTTGTTTCATGATGCCTTATGTCTTTACTGTAGACCATAGTAAATACCCACAAAGCTCCTTCTGCAATATCCTCTGCCTCAGTCCCAGCTCCTAATCTAGAAACAACCCTGAACTTAGAGTTTTAGGCTTTCCCAACCCAGCTTGCAAACACACCCAGTCATTCTCAAGCAGATTCCCAGCCCCATCTGTTATTTTACCAACAGTCCCAAGGACACAGGCAACATGGATGCAAAAATATATACTGTAATTCAACATATTGAATTCACCTAAGTTTTAAATACATAAGCAATTAGTATTGAGAATCAGCAGTTAAACTTATAATTTGAAATATATCCAGAACACCATCCACAGGTTGGATGTGATTTCAGGTATTCACAGAGCTCCCTTTTTTTTAGTAGTTATTTGGAGAGAGTCTGAGAATCCAAGTCTCCATAGACACAGAATTTGTCACAATTCAGAAAGTTCAATAAGGCGCAATGGGAAAGAATTATTCTACTTCCCTGAAAGCTTCAAAAGGTTTTGGTTTTAAGGAAGGGAAAAAATACATATGCAGAGCAGCAGATAGATGATTGTCCAAGATAGATGATAGGCATGGAAGGAAAGAGACCAGGGGGAGACCCAATTATTGAAACAACTCTGCTTAAAATAAAACAGGTTTCATGCCTATATGGCCTTTCTGAAATGATAGTTGTTGTTCCCAGATTAAAGATTCAAAGGGAATTATAGGGTAGATTCTGCCAAAAAGAATAAGTATTCACTTAAAGAAGGAAAGACAGATACCTTCCAGCCCATAAAGTGGGGAGGGCACTCTGCAGTGACCCCAACACTACTGTTGTTGGAGAGTAGGCCTTCTCAGACCCTTACCTCTTTAATAGACATAATGCAAAGCATGAGCGCCTGCTCTCGTCTCCTGCCAAGAGCTCATGCGTTTCAAATAAACCAAGTGATGCAAACAGATATTCAACCTGACTTCAGTTGTCCAGTGGATTGAATCATGAACAAGAATCATTGAAATTCAGATAATGATCTAGAAACTCCTTTGTGGTTGCTCTTTTCCATCTCTGTTCTCAGCCATATCTCTCAGTTACTACTAACTGGAAATCAAACTGACTGCCTTCCATTTCTGCTCCTTTTGGTCATATCCTTTCACGGAGGTGCTAACCAGCCCAGGTCACTAACACAATGCAAGAAGATCTGGATTGTGGTGTTTGACCCTAGAGGAACAGTGGTTGACATCATTGTTTAATTCTCACACCTTGTGGATGATCATCTCACAAAATAAATTGATTATATTTGCAGAAAATCAGCCGATTTCCAAGCCATCTGTTTTTGTCATGAAAAATAAAACACACTTCGCTTGCCTGGTGAAGGATTTCTATCCCAAGGCTATACAGGTCGAGTTCCAACCGAATATAAAAACATTTGACACTGCTGTCACCCTCAACTCCAAAGGGAGGTACGATGCTGTCAAGATTGGCCACTCTGAAGATAAACCTTCAGTGACATGTTCAGTTAAACACAACCAAGAAATTATAAATTCCACTGAGAATCTGGAGACAGATTCTTCGGGTAGGTCCCATCTGACCACAAGAGACTGTGGGGGAGGGAAATGGGAGTTGGAGATGCAAACTCTTACCATGGGGTCACACTGAAACAAGACTTAGCCCCACTGTTGCCCGCCATTGACTGGGCCTTGCACTCTGCGTCCCTGAGCTGGAATTCAAGATAAAGTCCATCTTTCATCCCCATCTCTCTTCTTCGCCACCACTGTCTCCTTCATACTAGTGGATTTCCATGAGTAGGCTCTAGGCTTGTTGTAAATCTCCATGCAGTCTAATGCCATAACAAAGGCCATGGGGTTAAAAATCCTACCTTTCCCTACTCAATTACTTATCCTAAAATCTCGTCCAATTTTAAAATCTGAAATCCTCTGAGCCTCCCGTTTGCCAATATAACTCTAACTGCCACTGTTTGTTCCAGGTCCTCTAAAATCACAGTCTACAGATAAAAATCAAACTCCAGGGCCTGCAAATACACAGAACATTACAGAGTCTAAAAACGAAGGAGAGCAAACATCAGGGGGCCACAATAAACCTAAAGGTTAGTTGAAATCAAAAGACCAACTTCAGAATGGAGGGTTAAAGCAAGCTCTGTAATTGTCATAGAGGTGGTCAAAAATCATCAGATTTCAAAAGAAAATAAAACTGTACTGGAGCCCGGCTGGCTTCTTCTGACCCCCACAGAGCCTGCGAGTGTGGGTTTGCAAAGCCTGCCCTGCTGGGTGTGAGCAGCAGCTGCGGGTCTCTGGGGGTATCAACACCATGTGGGGCTTCTGGGCCTGGAGAATTAATGGCAATTCAGACCACTTGATTCAGTGTTGTGAGTCCAATTTCTGGAAGGGAATTTAGCCTCCTTCTTAAGTCACCATCTTCACTCTTGTCAGCCACAGTCTATCCCGAGAAGGTGAACACGATGTCCCTCACGGTGCTGGGGCTCAGGATGTGGTTTGCCAAGAGTGTCGCCATCAATGTCTTTCTGACTGCCAAGTTATTCTTCTTCTAAGGTAAGAATGAACTGCTTTTTATTCCTGCCTCCACCCAAACTCTGCAGAATGTGGGGAAATGGAGTTTAAGAATGGTAGGAGATCAAGAAGACAAACACAAAGAGATATTACAAATGAATGGGGTGGGCCTCATATGCTCAACATAACATCATCTCCTGTGACCCTTTTATTTCAACCCAGACTCTAACCCACCATGTCACATAATGTAATAGTAGCCAATGGCCCTTACCCGGCCCCAGAAGCTAAAACACTGGAACTAAACAGGAAAAAAAAAATTTTTTTTTCTTTGCTATTTTGTTTATCTGGCCAGAGAACTATGGGTTATTTGAAAGAGTCTCAGTAAAACTTCACCTGAAGAATATTTAGGAGTAGAACCTGTCTTTGTCCAGACACAGGGGATGCCAGCTCCAATCCTTAATCACAGCCCTGCCATGTGGAGTCCAGCCTACTTAAAGGATGAACCTACACCCCCATTAGTAGTGAACAGCCACTACCAACTACTTGAAATGCCTACAAATTCAGGCATTAGTTACCTGTCTGTTACTGGCGTTCCCTCTTGGGGTCATCTTAAATATGAAATTTGAACCAGGGACTAGGTTTACCCAGGAAGTTCCTTCCAATGCTCCACAGTCCTGGCTTCTGATCTAGAAAAAACCCTGAGCTTCATGACCTGCAATGTGCTGTATGTTGGACTGATCCAACCCGGCCTGCAAGCATACCTATCCTTCCCAAACAGGCACCCAGCCCCACCCAGGAGGCTGCACAGACAAAGCATGACAGCAGGAGTCAGAAGACCTGGCTTTTATTCCTGACTTTGTCACCAACTGTCTCTATGACCTTAGCTAGTTTCACCTGTCTGGACCTGGGTTTTGCACCTATAAAACAAAGGAATTAAGAATGACTGAAGGAGAGCAAGTGGGTTTTAAGACTTGTCCCAAATCAATAAGCTGACGCTGACTAGCTGAACTACTGCCACATGCAGGAAGGAAACGTGCCACAGATCATAATGTCCACAGGGCACCGGCCATCCCCAGACCACGTGGCCACTGTGGTGCCTCCCAGCACTGAGTATCGAGGATTCCAGGACAACTTTAATGGTTTTCCTTCACTTGCAGGCTGAGTGGCATGGGGAGGCCACATTCCCTGAGAACAGCCAAAGGCCTGCAGAGGTGTTGTCTCCTAGGCTTCTGACGTCTCACAGATTCAAGTCAACCCTCCCAGCCTTGCTTAAATGGCTACTACACAAGCAGTGTTCCTTTGAAGGTGACAAAGCCAGCTCATCCTCCAGCCCGGCTGAAAGACAAAGGTCCTATGGGCCCACCTGCTTTAAATGCTGCTTTATAAAAAGACGTAGATATATAAAAGGGCACAGGACTCTTTTTTAATTCCTGCAACTGATTACTTTGAAAATAATGTTTTGTTCCTTTAACTTTCTTTGCCTCCAGAAACAGCAATTTCGAGCCAACAGCTTTCCAGTTCCATCCTCCAAAAGGAAAACGGGCCCTGGGGAAAGGGGGCAGAACTCCTGTGCCAAAACATGAAAGGCTCTGCTCCACCCAGCACTAGCTTTGCCCCAACCTGCCATTCTCATCCCACCCTCTTTGGGGCTCATCCCAGCCTGCATTGCACCCCAGAATACTCCAGATTTGATCAGGGAGTGGGGTGGGAGGCAGATGACACAAGAACACTTTCCTAACACTTTGCAAACAAAATGACATGTGATTTCCCTACTACTGTTCAAGCAGCCGATGGGGGTTTTTTAATCTCACCTGAAATGCCATGATACTCTCCAGAAATACACTGCTTTCTGTTAATTGACGTAACAGAAATGAATCGACTCCCTCTAAGTCCCAGCAATATACTGAAGGCACATAGGTGAGTAAAACAAGGACCACCCTTTGAAGGAGTCACCAAGCCTGTGTTTTTGGAGGGAGGGATGAGAATGAGACCCTCACTCCCCTGGGAGTGATTCTGGCCTGGGTATCTAGACCTGAGGCATTTGCGGTCACCGCCTCTTGCCTGGCCTTGGGTGTTCATGGCTTTCTCCTCTGAAGCTGTCTGCTGCATGTGTTAAAGTGCACTGTTCATCTCACCCTGGGCCTGCTCATTGCGGAAAAGTGGGCGCATGCACTCGCTGTTAGTCAGACCAAAGCCAGAGCTTAAAGGTCATACCGCAGCTTTCTGAGCCCCCAGCCTACAGGTCTCCTGCATGTTTGGGGACGCAGCACCCTCCCCCACCCTGTTTCCTGCTGTTGTTGCTGCTGCTATAGCAGTAACAGCAGCCACACTCCCGGTGTGGCCTGTGCACTCTGTTGCTCTCACCTCAGCAAGCCCACAGCTTTTTCCGGGGGCACCCGCTCCGGCAGCAGAGCCCTAGCAACCCAGTATTGTGGTTTCCTCAGCACCTATATGGGGTGTCAGCAGGGGCTTATGAGTTTACAAGTGAGAGAGAACCCTCAGCAACAGCTCCCCCTGCCCTGCTGTTGTCCGCTGCAAACTCCCGTCTCAAGTCTTCACAGCCCAAACCAAAGACAGGAGAGAAGAGTTATAAGCCCCTGGTTTAGGGTAACTTGATAGGCAAGCCCAGTCCCCCCAGGGGAAAACAAAAGATTCCATACAGTTTCGCTGGGTATGAGTAAAGAATGCCTGTTTCCAGAACACTGGTATCTGTTACCTTGGGTCATGTTGGAATGTTTATCTGAAGTGGCCAAGAACAAAAAGATCACATCCTCGTTTTTTCAAATGGAAAAAAAAATGTTCCCCTCAGAAAGGTATTATGTGCCATGTCCAAAGTCATTCTGCGAGGCAGGGGCCTTGCGAGGAGCAGGACCTAGTTACCAGCGTTCCTTCTGTGAGAGCACACTGCAAGCCTCAGATGAGGAAAAGGTATGGATTTCAAGTTCAGAGCCTTAACCCCAGCGTTGTCCTCCACTTAGCGAATGAAGCAGCCACCTTCTGGCCACTTTGATCACCAGAAAAAGGCATCCTTGTGCATCGCAGAACTTGAATTTCTTCACCCTAAAGGACCCTCCAGAAAAAATTTAAGATGGTAGATGGGACTGTGGCTGCCTTCGGGTCTGAGGAACTTGGGGGCTGGTACTGTGGATGCAAATGTTCCAGAACTTTCACATGGCAGCTATCACTTAAAGCCCATGAGGACCTTGAGGGGGGTCTCCAGGAGAAGGTCATACACACAGTGGGCCATGGATCAGAAACCCCAGGGGGCGTGGGCAAATGGGCTTGGGCAAATGACTCACCCATTTTCTTACCATCACCCATTTTCTTACCATCTTCTCTGTGGGACTGCTCTTCACTGCCTCTTTTAAAGCCCAGATAAACAGCTGCCCTTACTGCTAAAGCCTCCTGGGCTGCGGATGCACAAAGAGCTCTGGATATGCCTCACTGCACCCGGACTCTGCCATTAACCAAGTCTCTGACCTTGGGAGTGACCCTTGATTCTTTGGCTTCAGCGTATTTCCTATCAAATAATCACTCCCACTCCTTCTATCTCTAAGATTAGATCTAATGATGTTAACAGTTGTTTTACAGAAGATAATTCAGTAGAAGTAGAGGAAGGAGGGACAATTCCAGGGCTGAGGGTGTTTCTATTTTGACATCACATCATTGGTTTCCCTGGAGGTAATTATTTCCCCCAGAGACAACAGTGAGCTCCAGAGTCAGGCACTTTGAAGCTGGGGTTCAGGGATTCACAACTTTCTGGGAGTAACACAAGGCTCTCCAGTGAAGGAATATTGTTCTCCAAGTAAAGTAAATCAAATGGAGGTGTCAAAGGGTGTCCAGGAGAAATAAGGTAGCTATACAAAAAGTGGTAGAAAAAAAGGAAATCGGGGAAATTATTTCAAGTAAATAACTTTGTGTCCAATTTGATTCTTCTTAATTTTTATTGAGGTGACACTGGTTTATAACTGTACACAAATTTCAGGTGAGCTGCATCACGAATCCACCTCTGTGTATAATGTTCCCCCCCACTAAGGGTCTCTCCACCCTTCACCAATAATAATTGACCTTTTTTTAATCCAATTTACTCGGTCTTCTTCCTTTCTTTGTGTCCTGTCTGATTCTTAAAAGGAAAACAGAACCAATTCACAAAAGTAGATAAAAGATGAACACAAAAATATCTGCCGACCTCTCCTTAGATGGCGCTTCACCTGCACCATCTGATGCCCTCATGGCACACGATCACACACCTGTGTCAGGCGTGACCTGGGCCCAGGGACACAAGACCGTACTCCCTCACACCCCAGCTCTCCCTCATGCAAGGGCCCACTGAGTCAGCCGTGGGAAGATGCACTGCTCCTTGGGAAGCCAGGGTGCACCCCAATGTGACCTGGCCTCTGATTATTCAGCAGACACACTAGGGCGCCTCTAAAGGCCAGGCTGGAGCTCAAAACAACTAGGAAGGACGTCAGGTCCGAGGCTGTGGGCTGCCCTGAGAAGTGACTCTGCAGGCTGGGCCTGGGGTTTGTGTGTAGACTTCCTGGGCACCTGGGCCACCGTGGGAGCTCAAGGCACAGTAGTAAGTGGCACTGTCTCCAGTCTCTGCTGGTGAGACCACCAAGTGGAAGGTTCTCCTCGTTCTACTGTGCTGCACAGAAAACCGACCCCCAGTAAAATCTGCATCATAGAATTTAATGTTATCCCTGTAAAGGACAAACTCTAAGGAATGACCTGCCCTTATTTGGTACCAGTATAAGTCTGGGTTTGACAGTTCGGTTTCATAAGTGCAGGCCAGTGTCCCCTCACTGCCAACCACCACTGTACAGATCAGGGAGCTCTGGGTCACTTTGTCACACAACACGGCCTGATCTGTGGAAAGAAAAAATGAGAAAATAGTGAAATCCTGTTCTCCATAGGCAGTGGGTCAAGCACAGCTCCACCCATGAGTCACCCAAAGAGCAGAGGCAGGAGAGGGCACAGAAGTCAAAGGGGGAGAATAACCAGTAAGCCAAGTATGCAGGAGAGGGAGGCCAAGGCTTCAGCATCAGAGAAAGAGAAATGTGAGAGAGGAAAGCAAACAAATGAATGCACTTACAAAAACACAAGAGGCCAAAGCCCACAACCAGAATCATCTTCTTTTGTATCAGGGGAGAGGAGATCGAATAAAACAAGATTCCTGAGGCCTCTGAGACCACCTTTGGCTTCTGACAGGAAGGAGAGGGGAGGGAAATGAGAGGAGACAGGCAGCCCTGAGCGTCACGTGATCGAATTAGCTGTGGCTCTCAGAGACAAATGCTTCCAGCTCAGAAACTGCTGTTGTTATTTTGGTCCTCAATTCATCTTGAACTAATACTTTGGTAAAACACAACAAAAATGAATTACTTTAAAAGAGAGAGAAAAAAAAAAACCAGAAATAGAAACTGCCAACACAATGATCACATGCCGAGATATCAAATTGCTGTCGAATGACTTACCCTGGTGTCCCCACCCACTGGGCGCAGTCCTCCATCACGCTGGCACCACAGCACCTAGGGCAGCTGCAGCCCTGCAGCAAACGAGATCCACGCGTGAGGGCTTCAGACTAGTCTCTTCCTCCCGCATGTCAAGGAGGGAAAGCACTGAACAAGGTTGATTGTACAACTTCTCCGAGGCCTGAATCCTAGAAATCTATTTCTGATGGCTGAGGGGGCCTGATCCCAAGTGCTTACTGCAGTTGACACAGCGTGACTTCCCAGCTCTCATTAGGCACTTTGCACATGCTTGGTTCCAGCTGGAAAATTCTGCACCTGAGCAGAGCTGCCAATGCAGGAACTGCCAGGAGTGGGTTACAAGCTCCTGGGAGAGTGCCCACTGTGGGCCCTGGGGCCTAGAGTGGCTGGAGACCCCGAGGCCAGCCCCTCCCTGACACACACCATATGAATATTGTTTACCTGAATATTGTTTGCAATTAATATTGTTTGTCATATCCAGGATATGACAAAAGTTGGGAGGTTCTGTCCTAAGAAATAGTAGACTGACTAACTCACATCCCCAAACCTAGGAATGTTTCTAGGAGGCCCGTTGTTGCCCGTCTCCCCTACATCCAATTCAGCAGCAAGTACCATCATTTCTACCATGAAATCTGTCCCCAGTGCATCTCCTCTCCATCCCCACTGCCACCTGCTCCTACAAACCCTATCACCTCCGGTCAGAACCACTCGATGACCCCCTAACAGGACTTCCCTGCACAATCTCTTTGCCTGGTCTTTATAAAATGTAAATGAGATGATGCTGGCTGGACTCCCCTTCCTGGGTCTGTGACCCCAGCATGTGGTCTGGCTGCTGCTCTCCCTCCAGCCACAGCCCTCCCTTGCTCTCCCCCTCCCCATCAGCCTCTGTGGCCTTGGTTTTGGTCCTCTATCTGCCGCATTGTTCCAGCCACCTGAAACTCTAGACCAGTTTTCCATAAATCTTAGCTCAAAAAGGCTTTCCCTGGTCATTCCAAATAAATCAGATCCCCAAACCTCACCCCAGCCAACCAGTCACCCTTGTTTATTCTCTGTTTTACTTTTTCTCACAATATTTGAAATCATTGGATTTATACACATTTATTGTCTCTCCCATCTCACCCTCTTACACACACACACACACCATTTTATCACTGTCATTTTTTATCTTTTCACTGGTAACTCCCCAGTCCCTGAAGACTGGGGACATACTAGACAAGCAATATTTGTGGGGAAAAGATATGCAATATTCTCCACTTAAAACGCAGCATCTGCATGGAGAAGTTTTCCAGATTTAGTAAATAAAAATACAGGATACCCAGTTAAGTTTACATTTCAAACGAGCAATTTTATTCATATTTGGGACATATTTTTTCATTGTTTACCTGAATTTCAAATGTCACTGGGCATTTTGTTCTTTATCTGGCAGCCCCAGACACAGAGAAAATACCAAAAGTGAACCCCAGACAGTCCAAAATCCCACCACGAGCACCCAGAGCCCTGGCTGTGGAAGAGGAAGCTGCCAGCAGCCTGGTTGCCCACCCACACAGCTGCTGCCCAGCTTGCACTGCCGCCTGCTGGCAGCTGAACCCAGCAAACACCCAGCCCTTTGCTAGCTGGAGGCCATCTCAGGACACCCACATCTCCAAAGCCCTGAGCTCTTCTCAGTCCCTATCCAGCCTCCTGGTGTCTGTCCCTGCTCTAAAGGTGTTGACCACACAGGCTGATATTTATTAGAGAGCTGGGGGAGGGGAGGAGGGAGCTGTGGTAAATCAAGTAAAAGGGTCAGCTGATTGGTGAAGCATGGGACTAGACATTTAGTCATGAATATCATGTGTATACACAGGTGTTGATTTACAGTGCTGACCACCTAAAACCTATATCACGGTATATACCGATGTTACTGTAACTTAAAAATGTTTTTAAATAAAGGAACTGAGTGCTCTCTTCCGGTTATAAGCAATACCAGTTTCAAACTAAACTGCTAGTCCTCTTCTGGCTCCCCATCCTCAATGACATCTGGCCACAGCAGAGACCAGAGGGCCTAACGGACCCTCACCTGGAGGGATCACACCTGCTCCCCACTGTGTCACACAGGAGGTTCAGACCCTGGCAGCCCTTTGGCCTGGCTTCACTTGACCAACCCATCCCCATCCCCAGCAGTGTCCATCCAACAGAGGCACCCCTCTGGAAAGGGCAGGAGCTTCTCAGTACCAGCTCAGCTCAGTGGCTGGTGGGGGGCTGTCACGGACAATAGCAGGGTGATCTCAGCAGGGGCTGGGTGGGGGAAGGTGGAGAGATGTTGGTCAAAGGGCACAAACTTCCAGTCATAAGATTAACAAGCTCTGAGACACTAATGTACAGAATGGTAACTATAGTTAGTACCATGTTCTATGCTCAAAAGTTGCTGAGAGAAAATCTTAGCTGCGCCTACCACAAAAAAGAAATGGTGAAGACTTGACATGGTGGGGGTGCCAGTTATTGTGAAAGTGGCATCATTTTGCAACATATATAAATTTATCAAGCAATCATATTCTATGCCTTAAACTTATGCAATGATATCTAGATAAAAGTGGGAAAATTAATTTTTCACTAAAAATAAAGGAATGGGATTTAGGGGGCAGGCTTTGTGGGTTTATATCAACTCCTATCTGTTCCAACACATACTTGCTATGTTCATTTAAACATGACCTAACCTCTCCAAGTCTCAATTTCTCCACCTGTAAAATGGAGACAATAATGATAGCTTTTTCACAGGACTGTTGGAAAATGAGATGAAGTACTACAAGCAATACACCCAGCAAGTAATCTCAGGAAGTTAGGCATTGCTTACTTTTGTTGCTGCTATTATCACTTTTATTGTTACTATTATCATTTTTATTAGATTGACTGAAAATGAGTTGTGTTCTCCTCAAATATGTTCAGAGAAAAGATGCTGAGTAATCTAAAAAATGAAGTTGTGAAATCCGGCAAAAGACTGTACCAATCAATGGCCACAGCAATAAAAAGTGACTCCTACCTGGGGCCTCCCTGGTGGCGCAAGGGTTTAAGACACAGCACTGTGAAGCTACCCACAGCCACTGCAGCACGTGTTCGATCCCCGGCCAGGGAAGTGACCCACATGGCGCAACAGACCTCTCCTGTCTCACCCACTGCTCCCCTCAGCGGTGTATTTCAGTCATCTGCCTGTTCTGTTCTCCACTCTGTCTCTGGTGAATCCTCTCACCCCCCCACATCTCTGGCCTGTACCCCAGTTCTTTCATGCGTAAATACATAAATCTTTTTTAAAAAGTGACTCCCACCTTTAATTTGCTGTCAGTGCCACTAGCATGTCCTGGAGTTTTGCAAGCCCCCAGCACCCAAGCCAGCTGTACTCTTCCCAAATCCCCAAGAGTCATGGGAGCAGTCCTCTGGCTACTGCTTTTATGTCTTCTAAAAGTTACAATAGTCTTGTTTATGGAAGGCCACAATATAAAACAAAGTGACCCCCCAGGTTTAAGAATACGAGAAATTCTCGCTTTTCTTTATTGTCTTCACCACACCACTTATGCCCATACCCCATCTGCCTCCATGACC